AATATGAAAACAAAAAAGGCACCCCCACTGGAAGTATCCAGAGTGAAAATATGAATTTTTGTTGTTGTTGTATACTTCCTTACCAGTTAACACGTCTTAACTAGAATATCCAGTTCATTCAAATTTTCTATTTATGGGTGAGACAACTTACTCATAGTAGTTGAACTAACTGTACACTTCTCATTTAACTGTTAATTCAAAGTATTTTTCAAAACAGGATCGCGGGAACCATGAAATTCCATGTTGCTTTTTTTTTTTTTTTTTTTTTTTTTTTTTTTGCTAATGTTTCAAACAACAATGTCCTCTAACTAGTCTCTCAAATGCTACTTAGCAAGCGGAGGAAACTTGCAAAATCATACTGGAAATATGTGACATGAAATTGGCCTTCTCCAAGCTTTGGGTATGCCTAAAATAATTATTTGGAGTCTTCACCATGTGTGTTTTAATTTAACTATTCTTCATTGAAAAATAAAACCAAAACCTATCTCTGTTGACATAAGTGGTTGATGAGATGCTAAAACTGGACAGGGTTCCTGCAGCTACACATGCAAAAATCCCCATTCTGCATATCTGTTGTTGACTGGGACTCTTCCAAGAGACAGAAAAAAAGCAGCGTAGTCAACTATTCTCACGAGACTTTCTGATAGATGTCAGTTATGTTATGTAGTTCCCAAAAGGTGCAGAAGTCTTTTGAATGTTTTCCTTATGTGGCAACTGTACTGGTTATTTTTCATGTGTATTTGAAATGCTTGTTTTTTAGTGGTCAAATTTATATCCTGGTAGTGTAAAACATTTTGGAAGCCAGCTAAGAAATTTTGCTTACAAATATCTTTATTTTATTTAACAAGATACAGTCATGTTTGCCCCCGGTACACTCTCAAAGGCTTATTTGATAAAAGTACAGGTTGTAAACTGACTCCAAAAGGACCATCACTCATTAAGAGAGAAGAAAGAAAAGGGAAAAGAGGGGCCCATATTTACAACATAGATTCTTAAGAAAACCCAGTAAAGCAATAGTTTGTAGTTGTGTAACCAACAGCTTCCATAGACCATCTTTATCCACAAAACTCCCAAGTATCTCTTCTCAAATGTAATGAAATGTTTAGGAATTAGGTCAACAGCAGCCACACATACTTGTCTGATTTCCTCTTTTTGTCAGGCTTGCAATTGGCTTTGTCTTTTATGTACCCCTTGGCTTTGGTTTCCAGTAGGACCCTTATATCTACAAGGGATTGGTTCCAAGCTGCCCCTGCAGTTATAGTGAATGCTATTTTAATAGTAAATGCTATACATAAAATAGTCTGTGGCTTCCTTTAGTAGCCAGTTCTGCTGCCATCTTTATAAATATATATATTTCTAGGATTTTTTTAAATATTTGTAATATTTTTGGACTGTGGGCAAGTGAATCAGTGGTTCCTGATCCTGTGGATAAGGGGGTCTTACTCTATTGTACACAAAGAAAGCAAAAAGTGGAGAGCCAAGCTTCAAAGTTCAGTTGTAGCAGAAGAGACAATGCCAAGTGCATTTCAGATAGCTCAGATTTCCTTTTCTTTCTCTTTTGGACAACATCCCATTTTTTTTTTATTTTTATGGAGTGGAACATATCAGTCACAGCCCTCTATGGTAGCCTTCAGGAGACAGGGCAGCTGAACTTGGCAGGTCACCAATTTGCCTTTGTTTTCTGTTGTTGTTTAGTCGTTAAGTCGTGTCTGACTTTTCATGACCCCATGGACCAGAGCACGCCAGGCCTAACAGTCACAGCCCTCTATGGTAGCCTTCAGGAGACAGGGCAGCTGAACTTGGCAGGTCACTATTTTGCCTTTGTTTTCTGTTGTTTAGTCATTAAGTCGTGTCTGACTTTTCATGACCCCATGGACCAGAGCACGCCAGGCCCTCCACTGCCTCCCAAAGCTGGGTCAACATTCACTTTTTTCCAGTTCACCAAAGCTCAAGAGTAAAAATGACACTCACACATAAGTACAATTCAGTTCAATTTTACTCATAAGTAAATCTCACGGGGTGGGAATTACTCTGATTTCTAGGACCTTATAGATCTAAGCATGACCCTTTTTAATCATTTAATAACACCAAAGAGGAACAGTGGCATAATACTAAAAATAAGAAGTCCTTAATTAATTGATATACAAGGACTGAATTGCCCCCAAGCTATTTCTTCTACCTTAAGCATTCCCAAATGAAACACCACTCACCATGGTAAAAAATTTAATGGCCATGTAAATATTATATTGGCTTGAAATTTAAATGTCAACATTCACTTTTTTCCAGTTCACCAAAGCTCAAGAGTAAAAATGACACTCACACATAAGTACAATTCAGTTCAATTTTACTCATAAGTAAATCTCACGGGGTGGGAATTACTCCTACATAGGTTTTCACAGGACTACAACCTTAATCTGTTGAGCTAGAGTTTTAGGATTAGGATGAAAATGATTATGATTACTACCATCAAATTCAGGCAAAACCATAATAATAATTTTAAAAAAGATTAAAAAGTTGTAGCACCTTGAAGTCTAACAGCTATATTTTAAATATGAGCTTTTCTGGACAGGTCCACTTCCTCAGACATAAGGGTGAGACTACATGACATTTATTTATACATGGCCCCAAGATGGAGACTGAATTTGACCATGAGTTGTTGACCTAGCTTGATCTTTAAGCCTCCTGTTAATATTCATAAATAAAAATATTTTATTTTTCTTTTGTTTCTGTCTGACATGCTAACACAGCTACTTCTAAAATGACCATCAAATTGTTTTTCTTAACAAAACTGTTCTACTGGGCAAAGTGTGTGTGTGTTTAGTACACAGAACAGAGTAAGAAAATAGAGCCTAAGTGTAATGCAAGAAATGTCCATGTCAAGATAATACCAGTATACCTTAAAACAGCTACTGCTGGTAAAACCAAGAGTCCTATTGTAAGCATCTCTGTAAAATTGCAGGCATCATCCACCCCCATAAACAATGCATACCCTCGCTATTATTATTTCTTACTCAAAAACCCCGCCACCATCTCTATTCGGTTCATTGAACATAGCTTGGAAGATGGATCCAGAGAATAACTCTCTGAAATCCATATGCTGTGCTTACGCCCTCTGACCTCCTGGAAAGAATAAACAGCTGGAATATTTATTGCCAATCTAGCATCACAATATGAGGATACTATGAGAGGTGCACCAATGCAAAAAAACTAGCTTCAAACCATTATATCAGTTTTAGGACACCATCAAAGCCCTTTCATCTAACTTAATCGGCATGTTTGGGTTTTTGTGATTCCAGCAAGTATAGTCTAGAGAAAATTATGTCCCCAAAGTTATCTAAGTGCACAGTTGACATATGACAGCCATCCTTGATTCTACAGCTACAGTCTCCCCAACCAAGATACTGGCCAAGTATCCTCTTAAATATGTATGTGGTCAGTCCACGGTCAAGGGAAGGCAATTTTATCGGCAGGAAATCTGCAGCCATAGAATGAGTGATAAGGAGAGAATATAAAGAATTTAAAGACAGCATGGTCTTGAAGACACATTTACAGATCATATCTGATAACATTAGCCTTATCTACTTTTCTCGGAATGGTATCTCTTCACACTTTCCATTCAAGCTATCTAACCATCATCTCTACAATGGAAAATAGTAATACAGTAGGACCCCCATATCTGCTGGATTGGTATCAACAGTTATTTATCTGCAGTCAGAAAATATTACAAATATAACATGAAAAAAAAACAGAAATATGTGTTTACACCATGTAATTACCAGAGCTGGCCACATGATGGCACAGTATGGTAAACTCTTTCCACTATTTGCCTCGTCTCCCACCCTCTTAAGGCTATGCCTTCTATGAACCTAGTGTTGTCTTCAACCACCCTCAGTTACTGTCATTACAGGTCCAGTGGTACCTCGCTTGACGACATTAATTCGTTCCAGCAAAATCGCTGTAGAGCGAAAATGTCGTCAAGCGAAATAAAAAAGCCCATTGTAATGCACTGAAAACCATTCAATGTGTTCCAATGGGCTGAATACCTGCTCGTCCAGCGAAGATCCTCCATAGGGGCGGTCATTATCAGTGCCTGTAGTGTGAAAAATGCCTCCTAAAAACAGCGGGGAGCCATTTTGAGCAGCCAGCATCCATTTTGAAAACCCAACGATCAGCTGCTTTGATCGTTGTAATGTGAAGAATTAGTTCCCGAAGCAGGGAACCGATCGTCGCAAAGCGAAAAAAACCCATTAAAACATTGTCGTGAAGTGGATTCGTTGTTATATGGGGTAATTGTTAAGTGGGGCACAACTGTACAAGAAGCGCCCTGTGTCCAACAGACTATATAATATATAGGGTTCACTATTATCTGCAGATCTTTGGCATCTGCTTGGAACCAATCTCCCATGGATACAGCAGTCCTACTGTAATATATTCACCCCCCAAAATATTACACTTTATATCATGAAAGGTATACAAAGCAAGTTTACTACATACAACCCAATCCTGGCTGCTCAATCGTACCCCTTTGACTTTTTCAGAGCAATGTGTCAAGGGGGGAAAAAGAACAAAAAGAGGACATTTATACACTGGTATCAGGGCATCTAGGTTTGTACATATCAACTCATTTTTAAAACAGTGTTAATGTAGAGCACGCCATCTCCAACAGGAGTATGTGTCTATTTTTCAAAAGGTAGGGATTGCTAAAGTATTGGTGGGAATGTCTCGGAAGAAAGTGCTTGTCCAATAAAGACGATCTGCAGCAGTGGTTGTGAAATAGAGAGGGTTCAACCAAAACATCACGCTGTTTGAAGAAGATAACAAGGTAAATCCCTCATTCTAATTGGGCTGGTGGTTGACCACAATTCCAGCACTGGTGAGAGAGAAGAACACCTGCTGGTATAGGAAGGACAAGACAGGCCACATGTAATGCACAAAAATAGGCCTGACTACAGCTGTCTCAGTTAAGAGTGAAGATAATGAATTTCAACAGTTTAAGCTGCATGTAGTCCATGCCTTCAACCAACTGACAAGCTGTCTCAGTTAAGGGTGAAGATAATGAATTTCAACAGTTTAAGCCCAAAATGGTTAAGACCCATATTTCCCATTCACCTTCCCTAAATTCATTACGTCCTGTAATGTGCTTGTAAACCTCCTTCCCCCAAACCAGGCTCGTGCAGACCTCAAGTGTTAACAGAAAGCGGGTAGGGCAGGAGCAGGAAGACGAAACAGAAAAATAATGTACAGTAACAACATTCATTTGTACGAGTTCCTCTGATCGGCCGTAGCTTGTCCGGAGATCCGTTCATTCCTAAAAGAAGCAAGCAGTTCTTTTAATTAGAAGTAAAGGATTCGTGTTGTGAAACAAATAAGACATGTTGTGCACCCAGATGTGCATCAGAAGAGACTTCAAAAGCTTAGGACATAATTCAGCACGAAAGCTTCGGACTCTTGAGAGCAAGGCTGATTGGAGCTCTTCTGTGTTCAAATCAGCTTCACATTATTGGCCAATATTATGTATGCAAAAGCAACTTAACATTTCTCTATGATTTAAGGACATAAGCTGTGCTGGTACCAGGTTTTCAAACACCCAGAGGTATAAAATCCACCAGTGCCTCCTTCCATGTTTGGGAGAAGTGGGTCACACAAACCGGCCCTTCTCCCAGCCTGCATCTGAGCTGGGTATTTGCCAGGGACCCTTTACAAACCTGGGGCCATAGCAAATGTCCAGCTCTGCCACCCATGAGCTGACACGGCCTTAGGACTTCCCACACAAATACTGCTGCCTGTTTTTTTCTGGCGGTGGAGGAAGGTGTGCCAATGAAATCCCTCTGTGATCAACCGCTTTCGAAAGCCCCTTGGTTTCAAAAGCAGCTGGCCACGTAGCTGGCAGTCCCTGTTCAAGGAATGAAAATCCAAGGGCTCCTTGAATCTATAGGACTTGTTCAGTCTATCTTTCCACGTACAGCCCCTTTTCAAGCTTTTCTTTGAACTGATACGCCCTTTGGAATAACAGTTCTGTCTACAAAAGATTAAATGAGGGCCTTCTCGGTGGCTGCTCCCAGGTTCATACGCCCTTTGGAATGACGGTTCTGTCTGCAAAAGATTAAATGCGGTCAAGCAGAACCCCCACACTCCTAAACTGGATTGGTTCTAACAACAGCAGCTATTTTAAAGTGGTAAAAACGCATAGATAAGTCCCTCACTCTGCCATTTGATTTTATTCTCTCTCTGACATCCCAGGGCGAGAAATGAACGGGTGCATTGGTTCCACCAGCTTCCCAAGCTTGCTTGGCGGGGGGACGAGAGAGGGCCTTCTCGGTGGCTGCTCCCAGGTTTCAGAATGCACGGCTCCAAGAAGCCAGCTTGCCCCCTCCTTCCTCTTCAGGCAGTCTCTTAAGTTGTCTCAGCAATGCTCCTTTTTAACTTCCACATTTTAAAATGTTTTAAAATTGTTTTTAAACTTGTTTTTAATTTTAATATAGAATCATAGAAAAGTGAAGTTGGAAGGGACCTACAAGGCCATCAAGTCCAACCCCCTGCTCGATGCAGGAATACAAATCAAAGCATATCTGCTAGGTGGGTGTCTTAAGTTTCTCTTGAATGCCTCCAGTGTTGGAGCCCTGTCCATCTCCTGAGGTTCCATTGTCATACTGCTCTAACAGTTAGGAAGTTTTTCCTGATATTCAACCGAAATATAGGTTTAATAGCTTTTTAATATGATATTTATATGGCATTTTAAAACTGTTTATAGTTTTGTCTATTGTGAGCTGCCTTTGGTCCTCTATGGGGACAAAGGTGGCATATACTAATTAACTATTTTAACTAACCAGAAAATTTAAGCTGTGTTCTGCAAGGGGTTTTTAAAAGGTTTGTTCAGTTTGTATTTCAGTTGAGCTTACCAACCTCACATTTCCAAAACTCAAACATAGGTGTCTAAAATCTGCACTTCCCAAGTTTGCAGTGCATTTCAGAAAGAATGTAGAAAATGCACATGCTGTGGGCATGGGGGGAATGCATAAATAAGGGATGTACCGTGCTGGAAAATTGCTTGAAAAATGTTAATGTTTTGTTCAAAAGCAAAAGCTATTTATTTAAAAATGGGTTTTAAAAATAGATTTTTAAAAAACCTTCTGTGAAAAAGAAATGGATTTCATTTTTTGGAGATGTGAAAAAGTAAATTTACAATACAATGAAAAATCAGAACACACCCAATCCTGGAAAATGAGGAATTGACTGTAGAATTTTCAACTGAAGAATATTCATTCATACTAGCTATTGTGGATTCTTTCTCAACTGCAGTGTAAACTTTGGAAATGCAGATTTTCGGCGTGGCACGGACAAAAATTAAAACTGTAATTCAATCTGTGCTATTCAGCCACCCAGGAGCAGTGTCTCTTATAAACCTGTGGGAAATACTCCACAAGCCCCCTATGAATAGATTTCCCTTCCCCATAAGCAGCTCCATGGGGCTGTTGGTTCAGCAGCTCGTAGCGCCTGAACCAACAACTGGCGTACGGTCCCATCCTTCTCAAGAGACTCCACAAAACAACGATCACCTATAAGCGACTTTACCTGTTTCCAAATTTCCCCCGTTTTTTCAATCACGATGGTCTGCGACTCCTTTACAGGCGATGATGTCACTTTGTAGTCGTCAGACAAAAGGCCGAGGATGGGGTACTGATTCCTGTACCTGTTATTAGGAAAGCCTCGGTCAGCATGGCCGTTGAAATCCTGTATGCAAGGCTACGAGTATTCTAAGAATTCCATACTTCAATGGGGTGGAAAGAGAGAAGAGGAATGTTCTTCCTGGCTGTTTATCCATTGCAGATAAAAGACAGCTAAACCAGTAGTTCCCAACTGGCCCTGGGATGCCAACGAACCCAGCCAGGGGCAATGCGGAATCCTCTCCTCCCTCTCCCTTTTCTTGGCCAGCGGGTCTCCTTGCCTGCCAGTTGGGATCGTGCCGGATGCCCTGCCTGTGCTCGGGCGCAGACCGCGGGGGGGGCGGCAAACCATGCTCCTGTCCTCGGATGCCCGCTTACACAGGAGAAGAAGAAGAAGAGGGAGAGGCGGGCGAGGACACCCTTTCTTGCTCCAGGAAGGTTCTGGGACAGAGTCAAGGGAGCCATGTCTCGAAAAAGTTGGGGAGCCACAGAGCAAAATGGTGGTAAAATTCTAGGGACCTTACAAGGAAAAGCATTTAGATGATCCGGGCATTTCATGGCTAAATCTAGCTATGATACAGAGATACGACTTTAGGGACAGCCGAAAGGCAGAAAAGGGAATCACTTTGCTTTACGAGTACAGTAGTTCTTAATCAGCTGAAAGGGAGCCAGTCAAAGCAATGGTAAAACTGCAAGGGGGGGTGGCCCTCCTCACCCAAAGCCCGGCTGGACTCATGCTGGAAGGGCAGGAGAAAAAGCAGTGTTTGTCCTCCTCCTCTGGTCTTTTCTTTGAGATATGAACCATTTCCCACCTGTTGCAACCAATGGGACAGAAATCCTGTACATCAGATGCTCTGGGCCCCTTTGGCAGGACTTTGCGAGTGATCGGAGGATGAGAAAGGATCCCGTCTGATCACCCTGGAAAGGGTTGCTTTGTCAGGAGCGATCACTTTATGAGTGGCCCTCCTGTCCACTGGAGAGTCACTCTGGCCTGGCGCCAAAGAAGAGGAGCCCACTTGAGCAGACATCAGGGTCAGGCTGGAGTGTTACTTGCTTGCATGTTGTGTGATTGCCAGGAAAAAGCTCACACCGGTCTGTGTCACAAGGGGTCCAAAATAGGAACTAGCACCACAGGGCACCGGGGCGCCCACTTTGGCAACCCCTGCTGTAGTTCCTGAAGCTGCCTCTAGAATCTTGAACATCACAGCTCACACCTATTGGCGAATTATGCCACTCCTGGTCTTTGTTTATAGCAGCCGAAGGGTCCTGCTTTTCTATTTCAATTTTATTTTGTGCAAGGCAGTTGCTAATTTTGACTTCGTTAGAGAGGTTCCATAATCATACACACCGAGAGGGTGTATTCTGCCTCTAGAAATGCCACCCCCATTTCCTCCTTTGGCAAGGTTTAACTGTAAGCTACTTGGAGGGTAAGGACCTTTTGAGCTCTGTAGAGTGGCATGCACACAACTGCATCAAAAAAATGTAAAAAGGGACATTGCAATTACAGTATGACTGCGGTATCTACGGGGGATCAACCCCAGCACGGATGCTGGAAAGCATAGGTGCAGTCGTGCCTTCGGGAACCGATTTTTCGCATTACGATGATCAGCGAACAGCTGATTGTCAGGTTCCAAAATGGCCGCCGGCTGAAGAAAATGGCCCCCGCTGTTTTCTAGGATGGATTCCTTGCTAGACAGGCACCGAAAATGGCCGTCATATGGAGGATCTTCGCTGGACAGTGAGTTTTTAGCCCATTGGAACACATTAACCGGGTTTTAATGCATTTCAATGGGTCTTTTATTTTCGTTCTACAGCGATTTCGTTGGAATGAATTAACATTGTTAATTCAGGCACCACTGTATAGAAATCCTAGATATAACATAGTCTCTGGTTCCTTCTAGTGGCCAGCTCTTGTAATACACCTTGGAAAGACATACTAGTTTTTTTTAGTATTTTCAGGCAGTGGATAAGTGTAACCGCAGGCACCGATCCTGTCGATATGGCCATTCTACGGTACATTACCTTTTGGTTATGATGGTCTTGGTTAGTCCTTGAGACGGACTGATGGCTAGCTTTTCTTGCTTCAACCTGAAGAGTTCCTGAAGGAGATTTACAGAAAAAGGAAGAAAAACTGTAAAATGTATGTTTTTTTTAATTCCTCAACAAGTTATACTATAGTAAACCACAACATCTTCCCAATTCTGCAAAACACAGAGCTGCTGAAACGAAGAGCCTTTTTGCATCAGGGTTCTGACCAAGAAGCAAAAAGTGGTCCTTCCGTGCCGTTTATTTTAGTGAAAGGTAAAAGTTATCAGCAACATATTTAGGGACCCCCCCCCCAAAAAAACATATCCTAAGAGACAGTTCTTACTTCAAAGTAAATATGCGTTGGCTGTTTTCATGCCGCCTTGTTTTCAAAGGTATTTTAACACATGCTGAAATAACCAGGATTTGAGTGCCTTATCTGGATCGAGGTTGTGGTTATTTTTGTGTAGGGGAAAAGGGGAAGTTCAGTGAATTAACCCATGCTGCTAAAGATGCTGGATGCTGCCCATAAAAGTTGGGCTCAATAATGCAGCAAAAAAATGATACACCATTTTCGGATCCCAGAGAGAGACGCTACCAATGCATGTTGAAAATGTTACCCTGATATTTTTTAATGAATTTTAGTTAATTAGATCAGCAATAAGCACACATGGTTGGGCTTTTTTTGGATATGAACAGGAACAAATAAAGGACTGAAAATCCATGAAGGAGGTTATTCCGCCTCCAAGGACTGGATAGCTCAGTGGCTTAGGTCTCTGGTTGCAGAGCCAGAGGTTGGGAGTTCAATCCCCCCCCCAACTTCTTCTTGATAGGGGTTGGACTCAGTGATCCATAGGACTCCTTCCAGCTCCACAGTTCTAAGATGATGATGATGATGTGGAACAAGCTTTACTGAATTCTGACAGGGCATGCAGAAGAACGCCCTATAAAAGGGGCAGAGGCAATCCAAACCCTTGGACTGCCTCGTGAAAGCCTTCATTCATCTCCCCACCTTCAGAAGTTAAAGGCAGGGGCTTGGTGTAGCTCGTGAAGGGAGAAGCAGAGGACCTCGGTGGGGAGGGGGCAGTGGGGCACAACGATCATCAGGCATCTCTCCCACCACGGCCTCTAAGCAGCTCTACTTACATCTTCTTGCTGCTTAATGTAAGATTCTTTCTCCTCCAGCCTTAAAGTCAACTCTTGCAGTTTCATCTGGAGGTCAATGTCCGTCCCTTGCTGCCTCGAAAAATCCTTCTGGAACTCGCACAACTGGGACTGAAAAACAGAAAGCAACAACCTCAAGCTCAACACACACTAATGGCTATTAACTTGTGTGTTGCACACACATACATATTCACAGGATCTGGGAAGACTCAATCACAGATCTCCTGAAGCCCTATTACAGTGGTGCCTCGCTTAACGAGGAAATCACTTGACGATTAGGTTTTTGCGATTGCAAAAGCGATCGCAAAACGATGTTCTAAATGGGCTTTTTTCGCTTCCCAACGATCGTTTCCCTGCTTCGGGAACCGATTTTCGCATTACGACTATCTAAAAACAGCTGATTGCCGGGTTTCAAAATGGCCGCCGGGTGTACAAAATGGCCCCCTGCTGTTTTCTAGGATTGAGTCCTCGCTTTACAGTCAGCGAAAATGGCCGCCCCTATGGAGGATCTTCACTGGACGGTGAGTTTTCAGCCCATTGGAATGCATTGAAGGGTTTTTAATGCATTTCAATTGGCTTTTTTATTTCACTTAACGAGGATTTCATTCTACAGCAATTTCGCTGGAACAGATTATCCTCATTAAGCAAGGCACCACTGTATTCCCTTTGGTCCATAATTAGAGAAGGGCAGGGTTTGCCGGTTTGTGCTGGTTCGTCCATTCTTTGGACAGGCAGGTGTTCGGCCAAAAACCGGTTCATCGAAAGTACAACTGGCACGAACCACCAAACAAAGTTCTTTATGGACTCCCCCACCCCGCCTCATTCTACAACATCTGGGCAAATGTAGAACAATAACGGAATACCCTCAAGCTGCGTATTTCTCGGTCTTTATCCTCTCTGAGTTGATTGATCATCTCCACGTAGCGGCTGGAGAGTTCATCAGTGGTGGTCTGCCCCAGAGGATTAGAGGAAGCCTGTGCCGGAAGAAATATTTGTTATTTTTGGATTTAATCTTAGGAACTGAAAGCCATACTAATGGCCACCGCGATTCTCAACAAAATGCAAATCACCTATTTTTAGAACCAAAATGCAAATCACCTATTTTTATATTGATTCATCTAGTCCACTATGCCTCTAAATACCAATTCCTGGGCAACACCATGAGAATGTCCTCTTGAACTCATTTTCTGGCCATGGACTTCCCTTTCAGCCACCTTGCTGGCGATTATATAAACAGAACACAGGCCTAGACCAATCTTCCAAATGAGGACCCCAGGAAGGCTTCAAAAATCTTTTAGTAGTTGGACCCTACTGGCTCCCCAGGAAATGAAAGCCAGGCCTGAGCCCAAATGACCCCTCAGTCATGCACTGTCAAGTCAGTTCTAACTTATGTCAACCCTTTTTGGGGATTTCTAGGTAGAGAATACTCAAAAGTGCTTTACCCTTCCTTTCCTCTAGGGGCAACCTTGGGACTGTGCAGCTTCCCCAAGGCTACCCAGGCTGGCTCTTCTCCCAGGAGGCACAAGTGGAGAATCAAACTCCCAACCTCTGGCTCCACAGTCAGATATTTAACTCACTGAACTATCCAGCCAGCTGATGGCCCCTTAAGAAACTATAAAAATCCCCCAGAACTCCTACTGGTTCCTCCCTGCTGCTGGGAGCCATGTTTAATTCTGAAGGGCCTGTGGAGTGGAAGGCTCGTGGCCACGCATGAAGCCAGCATGGGACAGGGAGGAAGCAGTTCCTCACCACCCCCACCTTTTCCCACGAAGCCACCTGGCCGCCTCTGACCCAGCAACTAATGCACATTTACCTGGAGTTTCAGGTTCTGGATTTCTTGCTCCAGGGCCCGTTTGCTGTATTCTAGGTCCTTCAGCCGAAACTCACGCTCTCCATCATTGTGTCGGAGAGAAAGAAGCTGCTCCTCCAAAGAGCGGCATTTCAGGGTATACTCCCGGAGGGCTTGCTGCAAACACAGAGAAGAAACAGGCAAGCTTAAGCAACCTAAGGATGGATGGATGGATGGATGGATGGATGATAGGGATCTGTATCCACTGATTCACTTATCCACAGTCTGAAAATATTAAAAGAAAAATCCTGGAAATATATATTTCTAAAGATGAAGTTACCAGAACTAGCCACTAGAGGGAGCCATCCTACATATAGTGTTTGCTATAATCCACATTTTTCAGAATCCGTCTGGTGGGGTTTGGAACCGATTCTTCACAAATATGGGGGTCCTATTGTATGTATATGAATCCGCCAGGTGGGGTTTGAAACAGATTCTCCACAAATATGGGGGTCCTATTGTATGTATAACATTTATAGCCTGCCCCATTATCACAAGATCTCAGAGCAGGGTTACAGAGCTGTATAAAACTATTTAAAAACATAAAATCTTTCAAAACAATTTAAAATTAACAAAATACATACAATCAAAATGGTAAAGCATTTAATCGGTGTATTAACACCCAAACAGGCTAAGATCCTCAACCAAAGACACTAATAAAGTGTTTTAACTTGATGCCAATGTTGGTGTTGGCTGGGTCTCCAGGGGGAGAGCATTCCAGTCAGGGTGAAAGTCATCCACCTCTCCTTTGGGGGAAGACTCAGACATGCAATTTTCACTCGTTTTTATCTGAAACAATACAGTTCCAGGAAAATTTGATTCTGTTTTTGTGAAATCTGCCAACTCACCCTAGAGAACGGCAAGAACTGTCACCTTTTATGGGAAACGTTGACATCTTTGCCCATAAATATGGGGACAGCAGCGGCATCTTTCGATCCCATATAATTATAATCCCACACAGTAACCTAATTCAAACAATGTGACATTCTGACCATGTAGCCAACATAAAAACTAACTTTTTAAGTCTGTGCGCACAGAAACTACTTTTAATGTAGACCACTTAATTGGGGGCCACCGTTTCGCTCAGAAAGCTTTACCTGCTGTTGGCGATTATTCTCTCGCACTGATGCCAAAAGCGTTTCATATTCTTTTACTTGAGATTGTTTGAAAGCTAGATCTTTCTCAAGCAACATCTTGTCTGTTTCCAGTTTCTGTAAAATCAAAACACCTGTTATTTCAAAACAGTCTAGTGTAGAACGTTATCTGCTTGGCTGAGAGCTTTTGATGGCTCTTGTGTTTTAAGATGTGGTTACACTATGAAAATAAATCAGGAGATGGATCAGGATTGTGAAAGTCAGTTTAAAAATCACGTGATAGTCACGCAGTTTGGGGGCCATGATGTGTGTCCTCTTGGGGAAACTTTTAATCCATTTTCAAGCTGTGTTGTATATCCATTGAGGGAGCTACGTGGGCTTTTAAGACCACTGAGTTTGAGGCTCTCTGGTGCACCTGCTCTCCCTTGTACTGACTGCCTCTCACACCCATTAGCTGCTGCTTGCAATCTGGCATAGCGCTAGTTCAGTATGAGAGACAGGGAAAAAATTAGAACAGATTAGACTACAAGGTTTCTCTGCAGTCCAATACAGAGGGAGAGGTGGGCTTCAAGAGCCCCTGAGAGATTGAATTGATTTGGTTCATAAACACTGCTTAGCTTCAGCTTCAGCTTCTGGAGGATACAGAGGCAACTGCATTTACATGAGGGGGTCTTCAGTTGGCCCTCTAAGCCCCCATCCCCTAGAAAAAGAAAACCAGAACTTGCCTGTGTACTTTTTTAAAAAGGGAGGGGAAAATTTTCAGGTCCCACACAGCCTACGGAGCAGATGGGGCACCTGCATCTGTCCACCTGTACCCTAGACAAATCCATTTGGGCACATCTTCAGCAACATGGCTATACCCACCCCTAAATCATCTTGAAGATGAATGAGCTCCTCTCTAAGACTGCTGAACGTAGCAAGCACCAGCTTCAGGGACTTATTGGCCGTAACTCTCATCTAAGGAAAAAAGGAAAGGTGGAAATAAAATTATTTCCAGGTTAGTTTCACAGAAGGAAGGCACCGAATCAACAACAACAGAAGACAGGGGGGAAAAAACACCTCTCAAGGTATATTGCTCTTTATGCTGGTAACACAGACAAACGCACAAACGAATGAGAAGTTTCTTTCCAGCATTCAATTTCTAATTGGAACGCCTTCTTCCGTTTTGACACACATTTGGTTGATACGTACATTAGAAGCTGAACTAAAGATCATAAATGACGGGTAGGAAAATGGCATTTTCAACAGACGTACCTCCAGCAGGTAACGGATTTGTTGCTTTGTTGATTCCGAAAGTCCTTTAGGAATCAAACTCTCAATATCTTCTGTCTATTATATTTAAAGGAAACAGGAAAGAGGACAAATTATCAGACCTTGGCATGACATTTAGGAGTTGTCTTGTCAGTTCATACTATTTTGGCTAGGGTATCCTGGTATCCTTTTGGCAAACTATAAGCAACTTGTTAACAACACAGTGGTCTGTTTAAAATGTGGCCACCGCCAAACCTCTTGTGTGTTCCAAAGAGTACATGACAGTAAATCATCATCACCATTATCTTAAGAACTGCAGAGCTGGGAGGGACCCTATGGGTCACAGAGTCCAGCCCCTGTCAAAGAGGCCCAAGTGGGGAATCGAATTCCCAACCTTTGGCTCTGCAGTCAGACATCTAAACCACTGAGCTATCTGGCAGTGGGGATAGAGATGCTGGCCACACTCAACATCTCCATCTGTGTCTGCTGTTTCGTTCTCAGCCCCTGCTGCTTCTGTTTGCAATCAATTGCACATAAGTAGAATAACACACACCAAGATAGTCTGTTTCATCAGCCAGACAATGGCAGCACTGCAGAAACCTCGCATCTAAACCACTGAGCTATCCGGCAGTTGGGATAGAGATGCTGGCCACACTCAACATCTCCATCTGTGTCTGCTGTTTCGTTCTCAGCCCCTGCTGCTTCTGTTTGCAATCAATTGCACATAAGTAGAATAACACACACCAAGATAGTCTGTTTCATCAGCCAGACAATGGCAGCACTGCAGAAACCTCACTCCCCGCTTTCCTTCCTTCCTTCCTTCCTTCCTTCCTTCCTTCCATCCTTCCATCCATCCATCCATCCATCCATCCAGAAAGGAAGGAGACACTTTGGGGCCCTTTCTGCAGCTGCTATTTAGCACTGAATGATGCTCTGGCACTCACACCAAAAAGAGCTGCCAGTGCTGCTGAATCTGGGTTCCAACCAGTGGTAGTGGAACCAGGGCTTTGAAGGATCAAAATGCTAGGATTTTTGAACAGCAAGGACTATGATATCATCTGTCACCACTCAAACTTCCCTCCAAACTTCGTTGCAATCATCCCAGTAGTTGGGAGAGAAATGGATTTTCTTAGGAATGGTACTGTATATTGTTACAAACCACCACTACCGTAATGCAAAGGATTTGAGGTTGGTTTGGTCTTGAATGAGCAGTTAAAAGATGTTGGCTTTAGAAAAGACCTGCTCATCATTTATTGATACTGACTGATCCAGTTTCTTCCACGTTTGGACCCTCTCTTTGGGGTGGGGCGGCGGCGGGAGGCTAACTATATGGACTGTCAGGATAAAGACCTGCAGCTCCAATGTTTGTTATTTTAATTTGGGTTAAGGCAGCTAACAGTGGTTAAGCTCTATGTATACCCAAGGCTATCATATTCGCTGTTTCCTGTATTACAGGAACAGAGACTACTATAAAGAGAGACTGGAAATATTTCAACTTCTTACTTGATCAAGAAGCTCAATTTCATATCTCCTGGAAGAAAAACAGATAAAACAACATCAGCACAGAACATTTCCAAATTCACCAAATAATCATTAACCCTGTATTATTTGTAGAAATTTGGGGGCAGCCTCTTTTGAGCAATACAGTGGTACCTCGCTAGATGATGACCTTGTAAAATGACGAATCCTCATTACAATGAGGTTTTGCGATTGCTATAGCGATTCACAAAACAGACATTCCAATGGGCGATTTTTGCTGGATGATGTTTGGGTCCGTGCTTCACAAACCGTTTCTCTCAAGACGACGATTTTTACACTGAACGGCACTTCGGAAAATGGGTGTTTTCTGGACCCGTGCTTCGCAGAACAGCCATTTTAACAGCTGATCGGCGCTCGCAAAATGGCTTCCCTATGGGCGATCTTTGCAGGACAATGATGTATTTTCCCCATTGGAATGCATTAAACGGGTTTCAATGCATTCCACTGGGGAAACGGTTTTTGCATGACAATGATTTTGCTAAAAAGTGATTTCTATGGAATGGATTATCATCGTCATGCGGGGCACCACTGTATAGGCATTTCTGAGCTGTTAATAAAAACATCTCTATTTTTCCAGTATAAAACAGTTACAGCGATGTTTTGTAGATCTGGGATAGGGACCCACTGGTCCTCGAGTCTGTCCTACAATGTCCATCATCCCCACCTAGCTTGACCAGTGGGAAGTGCCTTTCAAAACATCTGGAAGGTAAAAGGTTCTTAAAGCATGTATCTGCAAACAGTGATGCACATATTACCCATAATATAAAACACTCAAACTCTCATTAATTGTGATTATCGTGTTGACTTTGGAACTAAATATTTATCTGTAATTAATTCCCTTTTCTAATAACTAACGAAAGTCACTGTAGTCCAATTAGTCTCAAGTAACTAAACTAAACTAAGTTGTTCTCAAGGAATAGTAAAAAAAAGTTTTATTAAATGTAACTACAACAGGAATTAAATGCTTTGTGAGTCCTTGAAACTACAGCTAATTACTTTTTCGAAGTACTGCCATACAATCTGGGGAGGAAAGTTCACAATACACTCCAGTCATTAAAATCTGGGACCGCAAAACGGTGGAAATCATTTCTGAAAGTAGAGTTCTGAGCCTCTCACTTCCTGAAGTCACTCCGACAGAACACCGCTTTTTGACAAAGAGATCAACAAGTGGTTAAACTTCCACACGTGGCCTGCAGCTTCAGCTACTGTGGCCGTGACCACCTAGAAAACTCTGCAAGGTGTCCCCAAGATGATGAGAGGACCTCTGCAAAGGGGGCATTCGTTACCTTCCGCCAAGCTTTCCCACATGCTGGAGTAAACAGTTGTGTAGCTCCTCACTCTTGTGGTGCAGCTCGGCAAGGAGCTCCCCAAAGAACCGGGAGTCAAACTGGTCATTTGTCTCCTGAACACACTTCACCTAACGGGAAACAATTCAGGACATTAATCAGAGATCATAAAGAACCTTTAACGATCAGCCGGTGGTTGCTGATCCCATAGAACCCTCAAATAATGGGCTCCCTGAAGGCATTCACTTGGCAGCTACCATATTTTTCCATGTATAAGACTATCCTTTTGTCTAAAACCTTTAGGCTAAAAATTGAGGGTCATCTTATACATGGAAGTAAGCTGAGGATGGAGAAAAACCAACTGGAGGGGAAAGCAGGGTTCGAAGTGATCCTGCAGGGCTTTGACCCCTGCTTTCCCCTCCACTTGCCCCACTTAGATTTCTTAATTTTGGGTTAAAAATTGGGGGGGTCTTATACATGGGGGCGTCTTATACACGGAAAAATACGTTACGTTACAGCTGTCTCCCCACTGGTGAAGACCACTTTGTTGCCCAAGGAATTATAGCAGACGTTTTGGTGCTTTTTGGCCTTTGCTCTCGTTTATCTTGGGGTTGGTTTTATTTTGGTTTGCGATGCTGCAGCGTTTGAGTCTTCGTAGCTGTTTCTCTCTTGGTGTTATGATGCGCCGTCTCTATAGTTACCGTTTGATGTTTACATTTCATATCCCTTTATGGATTGTACACACAGATTGTCAAATAAATAACTGTACAAAGTAATTAAAAAAGGACCCCTGGGCAAATTTGCGACAAGGAGGCAGGGCAGCAGGAAGACAAAAACGGAACGACAAAGCGAAAACCCCAAACCAGGAGGCGGCGAGCCCTCCAACACTGGAGACGTGTAAGAGAAAAACGAGGGCCTGTCCAGCCAGAGACGTTGGAGTGGTCGGGTCTGGAAAATTAAAATCGCCATTACGCCAGACCAGAGTAGACCATTCGTCTAGATGGGCGGGGTATAAATCTAATAAAATAAATAAAATATTCCTAATTTCATTTTGAGGAGCAGAGCTCACGTGTGGCGGGTGGGGAGAAAGCAAAGTACAACTATGAAAATGAAAACCGAATTAAAACTACAGTGGTGCCTCGCATAACGAGCACACCGTTTAACGATGAATCCGCATAGTGATGCGGATTTTGCAATTGCTAATGCGACCGCATACGATGTTTTAATAGGGCGAAAATTGCTTTGCGATGATCAGTAAGCATTTCGCTTACCGATCTTTATTTCATTTTGAGGAGCAGAGATCACGTGTGGCGTGTGGGGAGAAAGCAAAGTACAACTATCAAGATGAAAACCTAGAGGCTCCTTCAAGGAGCCTGATGAATTAAAACTATCCAGTTTCTAAAGTCTGATGACAACAGAAAGAGTCACCCTTAACAGAGTGCCTTTCTTCTCCCCTCTACCAAACAATCCTTCTGTCCTGCTCAAAAAGCTTCGCGCCCTGCGCGAAAATGGTGGCCAGATGGGGAAACATCGCAAAACGGTGAGTTTTGGGCCCATTTCGAACGCATTAAGCTTTTTTTAATGGGCTTTTCCGTTCCATTTAGCGATGTTTCCCCATAGCGAAGGTTAATCCGAAACGGATTAACCTCGCTATGCGGGGCACCACTGTATCCAGTTTCTAAAGTTTGATGACAACAGAGTCACCCTTAACAGAGTGCCTTCCTTCTCCCCTTTACCAAACAATCCTTCTGTCCTGCTCAAAAAGCAGAACATTTTTTAATTCTGGTTTTTCCCACGGTGTATATTGACCTCGTGGAAGACTGAAATGGCTGGATCTGAGAATTCTGCATGTCACCCACATCGTTAGAACCCAGGCTTTATCCTTCTCCCAAACGCTCCACCTTAGTAGATTTAATTTCATAATCTGCAACTAACAGCCGACGCTATTTGCTAAGGCTTTTGCAAAACGGCCTGCCTTTTTGCCAGGAGCAAAGCAAACTCGCCTTTCAATTTAATTCCTGATAGCATCTGGGTAGAAACTGGGAGCGGGAGCGTTCCTGAGCTAGCAGGCTGCAAGACGTTTGTCGGCAACTTCAGCAAAATGGCTCCAAAACTTAAATCTGGGTTTTATCCTTTAGGCTAGCCTAGCAAACTCATTCTCCCCCTGTGGATCGTAAGCCGCCAAAACGGTACCGTCCACACACCAGTGGAAAGGTGCGGATCAACAGGCACAGGGAAATCCCCAAGGTTTGCAAAAGGAACCCCACAAAGAAAAAACAACAACAACAACCAAGCAAACAAACAAAAACAAACTTTGGTGGGAGAACAACAGAAATCCCCAAGACCTGGGTGAGCAATGAGCATCTTTAGTGACCATGGGATAGTGACTGCCAATTGTTGTAGGGAGGAGGAGACAGATGAAATAAGGGTCAAATCCATGACCCAGTACACAACTGCTCACAACATTCCTATGACTGACAGCTGGGTGTGTGCTTTGAGGGGGCAAAATGGAAAATTGTGGGAGAAAGGGGAAGAAAGGGATGTTCTGGAAGAGTGTGCAGCCAACGGGCTGAGAGGGAACCACAAGGAGAGATAATACCGTATTTTTCTGTGCATAAGACTATAAGACTATACTTTTGTCTAAAGTCTTTAGACTAAAAATTGAGGGTCGTCTTATACACGGAAGTAAGCTGAGGAGAGAACAAAAACAAGTGGGGGGGAATGCAGCTTTGTTGCATTTCCCCCTGCACTTGCTAAGCCCCACTTAGATTTCTTAATTTTGGATTAGAAAAGTGGGGGGGGGTCTTATACATGGGGGTGTCTTATACACGGAAAAATACGGTAATAAGAAATATTAAATGGTACACCCATAACTGGGGCTTCGAGTGGTCCGCTATACACTAGGTGACCAGACCACCTCAAGGCTAGCCCCGCAAGGCCATGGATTCTGAGGAAGGGTCCGTGACTACTTTACTCTTCACCCAAACGGTCTGCCACAACCACTCTCCGTGGAGCAGCTCAGATGACTCTAGTTGCTGCTTGCCGTTCTAATTCCCTTGCAAAGCTTCTTAGGCCCCCAAGGCAGCCTTGCTCTGAAGGAAGATTCAACATGGTGGACGCCAATAACAACGCCCGGCGATAAGCCAGGTTGTTTTTCCCCTGCTGTTGCGACCACCTGCCATCATCACGATAAATGGCATGGAGAGGGGGAAACGGGAATCAAAACAAAGTGTGCCACTTCTATACTGCCCCCATAGCACTTCAAGAACTCTCTGGGCGATCGATAGTTTAATTATGAAGGCAACCCATTGCTCCCACACAAGCGAGCTGGGTACTCAATCTACTGACCTCAGAAGGATGGAAGGCTGAGTGAACCTCAAGCCGGCTATCTGGGACTAAACTTGGGTTGTGAGAAGAGTTTTGGCTGAAGTACTGCAGTTTAGCCACTGTTTCACAAGGCTATCTGGGACTGAACTTGGGTTGTGAGAAGAGTTTTGGCTGGAGTATTGCAGTTTAGCCACTGTTTCACAAGGCTCTCTGCCATGCTAATTTTCTCTGTATCATTCCGATTCTAGTATATATCCTGCTGAAGGTGCCACAAGGTGTTGGCTAGGATTCCTGGGAGTTGTCGTTCAAGAACACCACTCTTCTAGACTATTCCTTGGGCCCTGAGAACACCTGGACGTTCACGATGAAAAAAATAAAAACCCTGGTGGAAACTTAAATATAGATTTGATACAGGGGTTATACTTACTGGCTCACATGGCTGAATGGTGACTTTTTTCACAATCCCCCTTCCAGCATCATTGACAGAGATTGGGCCTATGTCGTAGCCATTGCCTGTCTGGGTGTGCTGGCATTGCTGCTGGACCACCTGAACATGTTCCACGGGTTGGGGTGGGCTGACATTACATTGGTCATGCTGGAGGGCATACCGGTACTGCTTCTCCTGAAAGGAAACATAAGGAAACACCCTTGCACTGTGTTCAAATCCTTCCCAGTGCTTTGGTTGTCTATGGATCTGAACAGCGCCCACACCGTTGAGCGAGATCTCAAAGCCACATTATCATAAAACTATACAGCCCAGCTTTCCCTATGTGTGTTTCGCAAGGAGAATCCTCATCACGCTCTGTAGACATTACAGTAATAACTAAAGATTTCAACTGTGAAGTACGTTGAAATACAAACAAAGCAGAAATGGGACAGATTTCTTTCTTGAGCACAACTAGCCATGGGCTTGGGGTTTTTTTGGAATTTACAGATTATAACTTCCAGAGGTTTGCAGACATTTAAGAGTTTTAATCAAGACATCAAACCTTTTCAAATACAGTGGTGCCTCGCATAACGAGTGCACCGTTTAACGAAGAATCCGCATACTGATGCAGATTTCTCCATCGCTAATGCGAGGGCATCCTCGCATTGCAATGGGGGAATAGCTGTTCGGCGGTTCCAAAATGGCCGCCGGACACCCAAAATGGCTGCCGGAACACTAAAAATGGCCGCCGGGACACTAAAAATGGCTGCCGGGACACCCAAAATGGCCACCGGAACACTAAAAATGGCCGCCAGGACACCCAAAATGGCCACCGCAACATGGGAAAACATCGGAGACCGGTGAGTTTTGGGCCCATTTGCGTTCCAGTGGGTTTCCCCGTCCCACTTAACGATGTTTCCCCATAGCGAAGGTTAATCCGGAACGGATTAACCTCGCTATGCGGGGCACCACTGTACATGTAGCTAATGAATTCAAACTCCCAGCAGCCACTTTCATCTTGTGGAAAAAACAGGGGAAATGGGTGGGCAGGACTAAACCTCCATGGAAGCTGCAGTGAATTATAGGCCTGTTTTTTTTAAAGAGGATACTTATGCAGTGCTTAATGGGCAGAGACTACCAGACCTATAATCCTTTGCAGCTCCCATGGAGCGTAGCTCCAACTACTCATTTCCTCTGTCTGAAGAAGACTGGTACAGTCTGAATTCACAAGCTTAAGTACTTGAAAACACAAGAGTTTGATTTCTTGATTAAAGCTCCCGTACAATCTCCTGAAAAGGAAAAAGATTATGAAAAGGGCTGTCCCTGGAACGTTATACCTCTTGGGGAACGAATGTAAAGCAATATCACCCACTGAGTTTTTAAAAAGAAGGATCCCATTCATCTGAGTTCCTTAAGAGGACAACACTAAGCTTTTGTATTGGTGACCAAATAGTCTGCCTTTTGCCGCAGCTCAAATGAAATATTTGTTTCTTTGTGCTTAGAGGTGAATACACTGGTGGGAGGGGACAGAAACATTTAGGGATTCCAAAAATCTGATCTTAGCAGGATTCTTAGCAGCTTCACAAGGTTCAACCCAACATCAGAGAAAATTAGGTTATATTAAAAAACTACTTTTTCATTATAAAATAAAAAGAGAGAAGGGAAAAAAAACTCTTACCTGATCAGGATTTAGCAATTCATATTTTCTGATCGTTTTCTCATAAATCACATTATTTCCTCCTTTAAGAAGTGGAGACAGTGGCTCCTGCAAGCACAAACACAGTAGTTATATGTTTTCTATCAAGGCAACAGTATAATTCAAGTGGATACAAATTTAATTGCAAACACTATACATAGCATGGCCTCTGTCCCCCTCTGATGTTTATTTTTTGTAACTTCAGCTTTAGAAATATATATTTCTAGGATTTTTTTTAATATTTTCAGGCTGTGGATAAGAAAATCGGAGGATCCTATCCTGTCCTACTATACTAATTTTTTCTGCAAAGAATTCTTCCATTTATGCACAATAGATTATTTCTCAAATCAGCTCAAACTGCTTAAGAGGAGAAAGTGCAGTTTTCCTACCTGTTCCGGGTTCTCCAAAATAATCCTGCGGATGCTGCCCTGGGAATATGGAGTCAACTTCAAAGAGGGAGATGAAACTTCCTATAAGAGAACAAATTATTCACCATTATTCATACCTTCATTGCTTACCTAGGGAAACTGATGAAAATCTGTTGACTGGCATTACTAGAATATACGAATCAGATTACCAATGCAAACTAAGCAACCTGTTAGGGCAAGTTGTTGATTGTATGACTTTGAGTAGATGCATTGAGTAATGCAACATTAAAAAGGTTTGTTTTGCCTGTTGTTACATCATGGACTTGATAACAACTGGGTCACATGGAGGGCTCTGACACATGATCTGGTCGAGGGTTATTCAGGTATTATCAACAATAGACTCAGACTTAGACTGTGCTGGACCCCTTTATCTCAGAGTCTCAACCGAGACACGAGAGGCAGTTTAACCAGCAGCAATTCCTTAAGTGTTAAAAGCTGTCTAACAGCTTTTAACATGTTTTTCAGACCTACTGTAGCTTGCAGATTATCTGGCACTGCTTTGTGATTGGTCACCAGGAGTTCAACACTGACTTAATTTGCATTCTGACTGCACAGACCTAGAACGGGGGGAGGTGGGGGTTGTGCAGCTGAAACACTAACATCCTTTCTTCTAATGACATGTGAAGTAGAGTGTCTGATTTGATCTGCGGCTCCAGGAAGAATCTACCATATGCCTGTCCATAACTTGAATGCAAATTAAATCATAGCAGGATTGGGCCCATTACTAAACTGTCATTGAGGAATTACAGAGAAAAAGCCCTGTATTTATCACACTATTAAGACTGGAAAGAATAGTTGATATTCAGAAACATAATATGATGCCACTGCCTAAATGGAAGCCGCCTAGAGTGGTCGTTTTGACCAGATAGGCGGGGTATAAATAGAATGAATGGATGGATGGATGGATGGATGGATGGATGGATGGATGGATGGATGGATGGATGGATGGATGAATGAATGAATGAATGAATGAATGAATGAATGAATGAATGAATGAATGAATGAATGAATGAATAGGGCTGATGATGCCATTTGCCACAGGAGCTTTTTGGAAATTAAAAATGTCTAATTCTTCCCCTAAAGGTCCTGAGGTTTTCTTGTGATCACTCTTGTCATAGGGAAACCATTGGGGATTATGAAGCAGGAGGGAGAAACTTTTAATTTCTGAAAAATCTGCATGGCTGGTCGTATTATTCCAACTGTGGCAATTTTCAGTAATTAAAGACTCCCTCTTCCTGTCCCGAAGCTCCCACCAGCTTCCCGCCAATGAAAGCTATTTCATGGGATCCTTGGGACCTTCAGAGGAGAAATTGGAAAGGGTTAATTTCCAAAAAATGGCCATGGCTCTTGATGTCATCAACTCTATGCAACGGAGGTGTGGAAATAGGTTTCCAGTTATTAAAAACCTTTTAAACAGAACCCATTGTTAAAAGCACATGGAGGTCACAGAAGCCACACTACATCCTAAGCTGAACTCTTTTTCTTCATCATCATCATCATGATCATTATCATGTGATGTCAAGTCAATTCTGACCTATGGCTACCTTATTCAGAGTTTTCCAGGTAGAGAATACACAGAAGTGATTTCCCATTTCCTTCTTCTCGGGCGCCCTAGATCTGTGCAGCTTGCCCAAGGCTACCCAGGCTGGCTTTTCTCCCTGGAGGCCAGTGGGGAATCGAACTCACAACCTCTGTCTTCACAGCCAGATACCTAAACCACTGAGCTATCCAGTCAACAACAACAACAATAATAATAACCTCCATCATCTTAGAAATGCAAAGCTGGAAGGGACTCTATGGATCATCACATATTGCACAGCTCCACAGCCACACAGATTGCACTGAGGATTAATAATAATTGTATGTTATGAAGTCAGTATTAACTCATGCTGTTCCTTCCCAGTTTTCTAGATATAAAATATCAGGAATGGCTACCAGTTCCTCCTCCTTGAGGTGTTTATGCAGCTTGCCCAAGGCTGCACAGGGGGGATTTTTTTTTTTGCTCAAAGGGCATAAACCAGCTGGATCAGTCCCCAGACTATATTTACTTGCCCCAATTTATTCCTCTCATTACCGTACCTTTAGAAAACAAGCATGCTTTGAAAATATGATTTCTGCAGATATATTCTGCGATAAGCAACAGTCCTTTCTCAGAGAACCACCATGGTAAAGCATGCTGATGTATCTCCTGAGGAAAATTAACACACCTTCAGCAATTTTTTTCCCAGCGACTCTTTCCAGATCAGCCAGAACACAAACTCAGGGTAGAAAAGGATCTTCGCTTTGATGAAAAGCCAATTATTATAAATTAGAAAACCTCAAAGGTGGCGAGCATTACTGCTGACTTAAACACGGAATTATGCAGATGTTGATCCCTTTCTTCACCAAAGCATCCTGATTTACGGAACAACTGGTCCTATCTGCCCCCAAACTTTCCTGACCCTTCGGCGCTCAGCTATGATCCTTATTTTTTTTTTCTAGAAGGGAGATGGGTTTCCCCAGCAATAATGCAGAGTTTATGAGCAATCCCTATTGTAATCAACACTATTGTAGTTTGGGGTTACTTGGTTCTTGAATGATCCATTAAACCCCATTGGCTCTACAAAAGACCTCTACCTAACAGAGATAAAAACAGTCTCAAGTGGTTTCTTATGCAGATCCCTGGCAGTGTGACTACAAGCACCATCATGCTGTGTGGCTTCATTTCAAAAGATGTCATGATGTTACATCTTGGGATACTGAAAAACTGCCATAGGTTGGAGAGGATGGTGCTAAGCTAGACCAAGGCAACATATGTGATCCTTCCCATTCCTTTGGTAGCATTTTCTAAGAGATTGCTGTGTCAATACTTCTCAGCAGAACAACAGAGTCTTATCAGCAAAATTAATGAGGAAAAACAAAGGGCAGAGGGGAAAGGGGCAAAATATTATGGCCACTTCAATATTTTGCATTCTTCCTCCCCACTACTTTTCATTTTCCTCTTTAATTTTACCAACATGCTGAGAAGGGTAAACGTTAGCTATATCTCTGGAAAGAGAATCTCCTGGCAACTTTCAATGTAAGGCACTGCCTTTAGCACGAGCTTTTGTGAACCACAACCCACTCTCTCAATATTTTAGAGCACAACAATATAGCTACAGATATATGTGTGGATTGCACTTGTTAGGAAGTACGTGCATATTAATCATAAACAAGTGCCGTCAAGTCAATTCTGACCCGTTTCAGAGTTTTCCAGGTAGAGAATACTCAGGTGCTTTACCCTTCCCTTCCTCTAGGGGGAGCCCTGGGGCTGTTGTGCAGCTGGCCCAAGGCCACCCAGGCTGGCTCTTCTCCCAGGAAGCACTAGTGGGGAATCGAGCTCCCAACCTCTGGCTCTGCAGCCAGAAACCTAACCGCTAAGAGTATATAAAAAAGCTTTGATGTCGGATGTAGTGGACTTGTCCACGAAAGCTCACATTAAAAATATAGAAGTTAGTCTTTAAGCTAATACCGTGTTTTTGGTTTTTTTAAAAAAATTTTACTTTGTTTTCACCTGTAGTTCTTGCACAGACAAGCACAGCTACCCCTTCTACATGAAAAAAACAGTGTCCCTTCTCCAATATACATACAAACTAGGGCCTGCTATACATTGTAGTAGCTCGGTAAAAGTTCTACCACACATCCTGCCATAGATAACGGCGATTGCGTTACCATTTGTACTTTGAAGAATGATGAGTAATAAATACTTTAAAATAGCTGCAAAAACTTCTGGGCATCCCCTTGCACACGAGGCTTTAATATTGTATCCGGTGCCTCTGAGGTGACGGATTACACTTAATGAAACCGCCTGTTAAAACAAATGGGTTGGCATTAAAGGCGCCACACAACTCTTTACTCTTTTCCCAGAGAAGGATCATTTGTATTCTTCAGGCAAACCATAATCGTAAACGTGCCCAAACAGGACTCCGCGCAGACACGGAGCCTGGGAAATGCACAGCTCATGCTTCTAAGCTTCTCAGCTTAGGTGGAGTAAACTAAGCTGCAAAAAAATTACTGAACTGGTGTGTTACCAGCCCGCAAACTAGTTTTGGGCATGGAGAATGAAAGCAGGCATTTAAGTGGCATCAGGGCTTAATCTTGAGAGATTAATCAGGACAGCTTTCCAAATCCTACACAGAGTATGATTACTCTGGATACTTCAAAGCCTTGCGAGAGGTTCGCTGAACTAGGATGATAGTTTGTAGAAGCAAGAGGGACAAAATCTGACACTTAGTTTTCCTGTCAGGCAGACAGACAGACATAAATATGAATTATGGGAGAGCTCAGCGAAACCGACCTAAACCAGATGTGAGGAGTGTTGTTGTTATCTGCTGTCAAGACGCCTCCGATTTATGGCAGCGCTCTGAATGAGCAATCTACAAAACGCCCTGTCCTCAATTGCCCTGTCCAGCTCTTGTAAACTCAAGCCTGTGGCTTCCTTTAGCCAGTCAATCCATCTCGTATTTGGTCTTCCTCTTTTCCTGCTGCCCTCTACTCTGCCTAGCATGATTGTCTTTCCCAGAGAATCCAGCCTTCTCGTGATGTGCCCAAAGCAGGACAGCCTCCGTTTCATCATGTCTGCCTCCAGAGACGGGGTAAGGTAAAGGTTTCCCTTGACATTTTTAGTCCAGTCATGTCTGACTCTGAGGGGCAGTGCTCATCTCATTTTTCAAGCCGTAGAGCCAGCACTTGTCCGAAGACAGTTTCTGTTGTCATGCGGTCAGTGTGACTAAGAAACGCCATTTTACCTTCCCACCGAGGTGGTACCTATTTATTTACTCGCATTTACTGTACATGCTTTCGAACTGCTAGGTTGGCGAGGAGCTGGGACAAAGCGACGGGAGCTCCCTCCGTCGCGTGGATTCAATCTTATGACTGCTGGTCTTCTGACCCTGCAGCACAGGCTTCTGCGGTTTAGCCCGCAGTGCCACCATGTCTATTTATCCAGATCTGCTCCCTCCATGTCTTATACAAGGGGAGGTGGCTATTTCTTTATTTTCACATCTTTGTTGATCACATTCATA